AATAGGAAATCTAAGGTTCTTTTTCAATTATTCAAATCTGTTGATCCGTGTTCTCGAAATCGCGGACGAACAATTGTATCCAAACATACTACACACACATACACACATGCACATACACTTATACTTCATTTTTTTCAGATTTACCAAAATGTTCAGAAGCCCTTGAAACGCAAAGATATATAAATTTTTCATTTTCGTTTTTTTTGCGATTACCGTAACTAATCCTACGTTGAAAATGTATTGCAGATAAATTTTAATATGTTGTACTTTTTATGATATAATATTTGGAACTAAATAAAAATGCTTACTTTTAAAGGCATATCTAATTTATTCTCGGTTGTATCTTTCGAATGTAATTAAAAAGCATATAAATAAATACTATTTAATTGTGTTCTCTTTTATATATTACAGAATTGCGCTCCATTATGGGAAGATTTTGCTTGCAAAGCAACTAAATTACACACAGGTTTGCGGTAAGTTTTTTTACGATAATCACTAGGTTGTCATGATAAAATCGAAATTTCTTTCTTGTTAGCTTAATATTTGTTTATATTTCATAATAAAATTGGCTCACAATAATCTATTAACCCTTTGCAAATCATGAAACTGGCCGACGAACTCGAATATATGCGTTCCGAGTTGTTAGAGCCACCTAAATGCATGTGAATGGCAGAGGAAATCAATGTTAATAAACCAAAATGAATAGTTTATAAACAAATAAACATTTTATTTATTCTGTGGCAAACTTATGTATGAATATATGATATGAGAATTTAAGTTGAAGTGCTATGAACTAAAGACGCTGTTAAGCAGAATTATGCGGTGGCAGTTTTAAATGACTATGGCAGTAGCACTTCGGCACCATGGTACGGTTCACTTGAAACCGTCCCGTCGTCAAAGGGTTAAATAACAAATGCGCAACAACAGTGAACGAATATTTCAAACCATATAATATTATAAAGTACTTTTGTATTACTTTTTTTTCTTTATTAATAATTAGCAATCGAAATATACAAATTCTATGAGCTAATGTATGACATCAATACAAAAATAAATAAAAATAAAATACAAGCAATGATAAGCAGAGCAAAAGATACAGAACAAAAGTTATAAGTTAATACAATAATAACAATTGTAAGCAAATAAAGAAAATAAGTATGAGGAATGCCTCCATTGAAAAACTATCTTAACTAACTATAAGTGAAGAATGGCAGGCAGAGATTACTTTATCAGGTCAGGAGGTCAATTTCTTTTAAGCCTTCGGCTTATATTTTCATTCACTAGTGGTTGTAACAGTTTGTATGTGTTTCGATATTGTGGAGATGAGTGCAGATCTTTTCCTTGGCGACATCTTCTATATATAGCATCTTTAGGCCCTGGTGTATCGTAACGTTCTGAGAATTTTATTCTGCATTCTCTGCATTTTGGCTATATATGATTTGCTAGCGCATCCCCACAGCTTTCACCTATACTGAAACCGGTACACCGGTTTCAGCACAAAACTTTGTTATATAGTGAAAGTTTTGACTTTCTACCTTAAAGTCAATTGAACAGTAGCATTGTTTATTTTATTTGCTGTACTTTATTGTTTATGTAGAATTTTTAAGCGGAGGCCTACGTACTTAACAACATAGTTCTCGAAAATTTCGTCGATGCCAAATGTTACTTTTGGACAGCATTGTTTCCTGAGGGTTGTTAATCTTAAGTCTTGTGATTTTGTTTGATTAATTTTTATTTTTCAGTTTTTGGACCATTCATTTATTTTATCAAGATGATTTTGGAGTTTAAAAGATGCACCGGTTGGATCTTGCACAAATGCCAAAACTGCATTATCGTCCGCAAAAGTGCAGCAGGTGGTGTTTCTCAGTGTGAGAAAATCATTCGTATAAATAAGGTAAAGGAACCGTCCCAAAACATTGCCCTGACGAATTCCTACTTTCATTAATTGTGGGTCAGTTGTAGCATCGCCAACTTTGACTTGAAATTTTCTTCGAGTAAGATATAATTCGAAAAACATCTTGTATGTTGGCAATAAATTTTCGATTTTGCAGAGGAGGTCTTCGTGCCAAACTTTATCAAATGCTTAGCTCACTTCTAAGAAAGCCGCAGAGTAGTATTTTCTGCCTTCAAAAGCTTTATTATTAGTATCCATTATTCGATGACACTTTTGCGTTGTTGTGTGTCCGTTGCGAAAGCCAAATTGATGGTCAGGAATTAGATTAGTAGTCTTTGTGATGTTTGCTAGCAGAAGTCGAATATTTTAGATGCTATTGGAAGCAGGCTTACTGGCCTATATGAATTGAATTTTTAACTTCACGAAGGAGAAGTTTATATTTTTATCAAAAAATCCGATTTGCTAATTTTGTTTTCTTGACGTTTCAAGCCATTCTGAATCGAATGAGACCAAATTTGGAAAAAGTATGTGTGTGCGTATTTGCGTGCGGGTATGTGAGCAGGTTTTTTGCCCTAAATCGACGTTGTCTCAAAAACGTCTGGACCGATTTCAAAAATTTAAAACCATTACATGTATTTCTATGAGGACTAGCGTTACTGAGTTTTGTGCAATGATCGACCTAGCCGTTTCTTTGTAAATCGCAGAAAAGTGAAAAAATTTTCGTCTACGTTTTAGCCCGCAATTCTTAATCGATTTTGTTGGTAATGATACTGATTAGTTTTAAATGGAAATTTACAGAGCCGTTTTCTTGTAATTAACTGTTGAAAAAAAAATGAAAGCCCATTTTTATGGAACTTTTTTTGGCGATATATATATCATGGTACTAAAGAACTTACTGAAATATTATAGCCTTACGACAAATAATTTAATTTTAAAAATTCATCTAAGTTTGAGAAAATTAGTAGTTTTTTTCACGTTTGTTAAAATATAAATTAGACGATTAACTTGGTATAACGATATAGTACTTGGTCTTAATGAACATACTAAACCATTAAAGTCCTACGGCAACTGGTTCAATTATACAAATTATTGATTTGTGAAAATTTGCTTTTAGAAAATACCCCGAGTTAACGTGTTCGTTTGTTTTCAAACATGTGTAATTAATCTACTCGGAACACTTTTAATCACTCATGAATTAATTTATTTTTTATTGGGTAAGTCGAAGTTTATATAACTTGCCTCAAGGCAAAATACCAACACCAACTAGTTTAGTTTAGATAATGAACTTACACGCGTCGAACTGATAAAATTATCAGTTCGACGCGTATCAATTGAATATTTAATATTTGTAAAAATAAATAATATGAGCCATTAAAATAATTCATATTGAATATTTTAATGGATCACATAGGCTCATAAAAATTCGTATTTTTGATTGTCTATAATAAATAAATACAAAATTAAACAAAAAAATAAATTGAATATTTAAACTTGTATTGAATATTGTGAACTTGTATTAACTTTAAATAGTCCTGAATAAGTGTGTATTATTGTTTCTATTAGGTGCGCAACTATGTTCTCGCTGTTTTTCGATAAAAATGTAACTTTATTATAAAAAAAAATTTCTGGCAGAGCTCGAATACCTTGACGCCAGAAGGCTATCCACAAATCAAGTCATTTTCTGACGTCTTCATATGAATTGAACTACTGATCAGCAAGGCCATGTGCTATCGAACGGAACAAGTAAAAATCAGACAGTGCAATATCTGGGGAATATAGCGGGTGGGGTAGGACTTTTTATTTGAGCGTTCCCAATAAGTTTTAACAGGCTTGGAAACCCGAGGCCGAGCGTTGTCAGTAAAATCACTCTGCTCGTATTGTGGCTGTTCTCGCGCAGTGTTCGGTTAAATTGCATCAATTGAGATCGATACTGTTCTCCAGTGATGGTTTCGCTCCGTGTCAACAGCTCATAATAAATTACACCGACCTGGTCCTACCATATGCAGAGCACAACCTTCGCAGTGAATATTCGGCCGAGCCGAGATTTTCTTATTTTTGGATTGCTTGTATTCATTTTTTATCACCTCTCACGATGTGATGGAGAACCCCCTTTTTTCTCGCTGTTGGAGCAGTTGTTCACAGGCGAAACAGCGACGCTTCACGCCCCTTTGCTACAACTCACAAGAATCTTAAGTTTCTTGCTTCTGAATCACCTAATGTAACTCCTAATTCTGAAGCAAGATCTCCTTGAGTTTGGCACGAAATCTCTTCGAGCAAGGGCCGCCTATATATGGCTCCTATAAGGGCTATGCACTAAATTCCGTAATACGGACGCCAGAGCACAGCCCTATAGGCGCCGGTCCTGTGTTAGGGCTTGCCATAACAAATTTTTTACTCGGGATGACATTTCCACGCACACTACACTTTCCTTGTACTGGTTTCGAGAAACAATTGAATTAATGATTGACATCACTTACTTTGAGTTCAACCACAACTTATAATTTCGAACGTTTGGCACCCCCTTCATTTTCCCCATCCTTAGCAGAAATAGTAGTACAACATATCGAATCAGCAATTTCTAATTCTTACAATCAACAGATTTTCTATTATCGATTTGTTGACGACATAATAACATGCATTCCGAACAGCGAGATAACATCTCTCGTAAATTATTTTAACTCATACAACAATCATTTGAAATTTACTTTCGAAATAGAAAATATCAATTTAATCAGCTTCCTAGACTTACAGCTTCACCGTGAAAACAATAATATAATTACGAATTGGTATCATTAACCAACTTACTCAGGTCTATATACTATAAACAGAATTTTATACCTACAAAACCGCCATAACATTTCAACTGAAAATCCAAACCTCGACAATTACGTAGGAACTATTACCTTACTCTTTATAAACGATTTTTACTAAGCACGGAAAAAACTCTTCATTAAACATAATATTAGAGCAGTCTTTGTCTCGGATAACACCCTTTCAACATTATTTACTAAATCAGAATCTAAATTTTATCCGAAAATTTTAAGCAATTTAGTATACAAATTAAATTGTCTAAATTGCCAAGGGTTTTACATTGCCGAAACTAGTCAAAATCTACACAAAAGAATCTCTCAACACAGAAATAACTTAAAAAATAAGAATCAGAATAAAACTATGCTCACAGAACATATAAATAACCTTCAGCATAACATTGATTTTCTAAACTCGAGTATATTATATTTTGAAACCAATATGGTTAAAAGAAGATTTAGTGATGGTTGTCTAATATCATTAAACAATAATCCAATCAACAAGAGACTTGACAGTTCCTCACGCTGCAACGATTACAAGATTATTCCACGACCAATTTTCAAACAACACTTTTTAGTTTTCCACTGAATGACGGTCTCGATGAAGACTGAAACGTATAGATTAATAAAGTTGATTTCCTAATTGCTTTATTTTTTAAATAATTTTGATGCTGAAATATGTGAGATTCATTCTTCAGGGCAATATATCAATTAAAATATTGTAAACATTTATAAAGGGACAAATAAGAAACATAGAAATTAAAGTTTTAAA